GAATTTTTATTTTTATTTTTTTATTTTTATTATATACATACACACACACACATCTTGTCAATTAAACAGGCAAAGGAAGAATGGAGTGAAATTTGGCTTGTCTAGTTATAAATAACTGTTACAAAGGAAGGCTGTGAAAACCACCAGTAGAGGTGGCTTGTTTTATGTTTTGTCTTAATAAAAGGGGAAAAATCACGAGAGGAGTTTTGCACTGTGAGTTTTGTATCACACCCTGTGAACCCCCACAGCCCTTGTCAGTTTTGTATAATATTTTTATTTATCTGCTTCTCTGCTGGATCAGGACATTCGGCCCTTTAAACGCAGTCAAATACAGTCTAAGCCTGGTCACCAGCTAAAACCCAAATAGCAAACTGCAGTTATTGATGGGAGAAGCAGATGATCCTGCTTCTATTGTTGTCCTGCCCCTTCATCTTAATGGAGATATGGACCTAAAACAGGAGAATGGACTGTCTTGGTGCTGCAGGAATCTCAACTTATGGTTATATTTGCCTCTTGCATCCTGAAAGTGAAATGAACATCCTGAAACTGCAAGTTCTGCATAAACTTCTTGATGGAGTAGAAATCTGAACACAGGTTTCTCTAGTCTAGATCTTCTATTCAGCACTGGCTTTCTATGTCTGCACTTGTTCTTTGCAACAAAATCTCAGTATTGATTTGCAAAGCTGTTCTCATCAATCTTTAATGGTTCATGTTTTGTCTCTTTAATCATGGAGTATAGTAAGATATACTAATATTACCTGCAACTTTGCACCAATAGCAGAGGATGGGAATATTAAGGTGACTGTCTTTGCTGGTGCAGCATACATGCCAGTACTTCTCCATGCTTCATTTCCTGAAAACAAAGTTGAAAATCTGTCAGAAGTCAAGTTCATATATATGAGATTGCTGAAAAGGCCAGGAATCTTGGGATTCGATGCTAATAGTTGTGTCAAGGACATATTCAACACTCTCTTCCATCAAAATTAAAGAATGCCCCCATCTCCTAACTCAACTATAACTGCAAAATTGCATATCTAAATTGGTAGTATGGATCTTCTTGTAGATTTAGCCTACATTTTATTATTCAGTTAAACAATCCCAGCTTTTTTCAGTCTAGATGTTTGTAGTCCACATTAAGATAGTCTACTGTTGGCAGATTTGAAACAGTGCATTGCTTGATGAAAAGAATGTAAGTCAGTACCCTGAAATAATGACCGCTGATTAGAAACTAAGAACATGTCTTACCTGCATTGCTGCCATTTACTTGAATGGTTTGAGGAGGTGCTGTAGGATAAGGCTTGAGAAAAGATGGGTTCAGGTGAGGTACTAAGTCTTGAAACTCTGGTAGAACATTGTAGAGCACAGAAGCTATTTGAAGGAAGAGGGCTTGGTCTGAATTGGCTTGGATTGGGTTGTATGCACTGACCTCAGGAATCCCTTTAAGTTGAACCAACTCTAGAACATCGTCATGAACCGAAGAGAAAGGACGGGAGTTCACAGCCGGGATCTCAAGGAACATCGCAGTGTCTTGTGCCAGCTTCTGGAGCCACAAGGAATATGGTGGTTGTAGAGTCTGCTTGTTCTGAATATATTCCTTGAATTGCAAGAGTGCTTTCCGGAAGTGATAAGTGGAAGCCACTTTGCTGGGCTCTCCTACAGGGCAGCTGTTATCAGGTATTTCAATAGTTTTCCCAGCAATGCCAATTCCAAACTTATTCAAGATCTTGTTTCCTGGATATTCTGCAATGGCACTGGAGTTAGGATTCTCATAAGTCCAATACCAAGCTTGACCCCCAATCAGGAGTCCTCCTCCTTCAGAGACAAACTCATGGATGCTTTTCATCTCTTTGGCATTGTAGGCTGTACAACAGTATATGCCTAGGCCTTCCTTAAAGTCGGTTAGCTCACAGCGGATCATTGCTTGATTTAACATAGAGTAAAGTTCCTGTAAGTTGTCTCCGATGCCCACCTTCCTTTCCTTTCCAGCAGAAAGCCAACTGATGGCATTGAGGAGGAAGGCTTTCATTGATGGCAAGTTAAAGAAGCCTTCATGAGAGGCAACTACGATGCGTCCTCTACCATAGTATGCAGCTGCCAGGAAGGAGTGGTAGGTATCACTTATGCCAACTGGAAATGCCAGCGTTCCATGGATTAGCAATGGAGATGGAAGTATTGGCTTCTGGAGGTCATCACCCTTTATATTGAATTTGATAACTCCATTCAAAAATGTCTTCAAATCATTTTGAATGTCTAATCCGTGCCTATTAAAAAGAGAGGCATTCATCAGTTTTTCATATTATTTGAAATAAACATTTTATGCTCAGGATGATGGACATGCTTAGCTTGCTTATTATAATGTGCATGCTTGGGATAAATCTAGAGTTTTGTTGTGGTTTGTGACATTTTGCTCAAATTTTTCCCAAACTAGCTGGGATAGCAGAGAATGCTGCATCTTGCACAGGTACAGAAAAGACTAGTAACTTTATCTATCTTATTAAAAATGTTGTGTGAAAGCCTCAATTGACCAAAGGAATTAAATGGATAGAGTTCTCTACCTCTAGATCTTACCAGTGACAACCAAGGAGGTTGTCTGGAAGACTGCAGCTTGGAATGTAAGACAAGAAAATGGTAAAAACTTGAATAAATGAAAGGGAAAAATAGATATATGTATGTCTGTGGAACTAAGAAAAAGGGGAAGGATGTGATAGATCTGAATGAAGGTGGTCTGACCCCATATGGAAGGGAGTACTGTAGAATACATGCAGAGGAATGAAGTTGTAGATTCAATTATAAATGAAAAGGCTAAAATGCAGAGCAGAAAGTATGCATGTTGTTGGTGTTGAATGGCGTTACAGATTAATTTTGGGGAAAATTGTACAACTCTGGGAGGAAAACATATTCTGTAGGTGCTATGAATAGATAGGTGGGAATGAAGTGAGTATATAGAAGTAGTTTCTAAGGTATTTGGAGACCCAGGAATAAATGAGAATGGTGACTGCCCAAAAAAGTCTATTTGTTTCAAATGCATGGTTTAAGTGTAAATCTATTCAGATATGCCCCTAGGAAAGGATTGACTGCAAGCCTAAAACATGATTAATATGACTGCTTATGATGAGAGAGTGAGAGAATTAGTGAAGGATTTAGGAATGATGAGAGTTGCTGAATATTGGACAGACCATTGTTTGATCAGGAGTGGATCCTGGGGAAAAATCAACGTACAAAGAAAGGAATTATGTGAAAGAAACTAAAGTGAAAGCAGAAAGACTGGAAGAAGAGAAAATGTGAGTCCTGTATGAAAAAGTATTCTCCCAACAAAATGAATCAAAAAGGGGTGTGAGGAAAGAGGATGAGGAAGCTGCTTGGAACAAACTCAAAAGGGTTATGTTACAGAGGGCCACAGTAGTGTCTGGACGTAAAAGAATACTTGTTGGAAATGTGAAGTGAATGAAGCTGAGAAAAGAAAAAAACAATTGTTACAGCAAATGAGAATGAGACAAAGATAGCGCATAAACGATTCTGGCTATCTGGATCGTATGGAAAACCAAGGAAGAATGATACTCACTCAGTGATCAGGGGAATCCTTGGGATTTTTGCAGGGACAGAGAAGACCCCGTTTTCTCCCACGTTGGCAGTGAAGTACACTCCAGCCACGCTGGTCACCTGATTTCCAGGAAATCGAACCAGGACCGCCTCCTTCCCATGTTGATATGACCAGTGCCAGGCCTGGCCACCAATGAGCAGACCCCCGCCTCTCTTTACGAACTGCACAAGGTCATCAGCCTGCACATCATCGTAGGCATCTCTGCAAAACACCCCTGGGGAGTCCCCAAGCGTTGCATCCGGATAAATTTTAACGCCACCCTCAAGGAGCAACTTGGAGAGGGCATCCAGGCTTCTGTGGACCCCAATGAGTGCCGTTGGGGAAGGCTTGAGCCAGTCCAGAGCATTTTTTACGAATGGCAGGAATTGGGGATACTGTAACATTGCTTCATGCGCAGCGACCACCATCCGGCCTTTCCCATACTGGGTTGCAGCAATGAGAACTTGCCCATTTGAACCCACAAGCACTGGGAAGGCTCGGTCTCCTGTGAGCAAAAGCTGACAAGGATTGAAATCTCCCGTGACATTGATGGACTGAATGCCTCTCACTAGAGAATCGTAAGCGTGTTGGAAATCCATTAGAAAGTTTGGATCTGGAAAAGAAAGTATAAATTTCTGTCTGTATATTTTATGTTGCATGAAGTCCTGCAAGAGACATCAATACATGCAAATGTTCATAAAATCAGTCAGATATCTATCTGGTGTCAGGCGATGGGGTATGATTTGTTCTCACTATAATACTGCGTATTATTGTGAAGCTTTAGTGTTTTCTATAATATTGGCTAGGTTCAGTTTCCAAGGGAGGACTGTGTTCAGATGGATCTAAGCAGAACAGACAAAAGGATGGAGTAAATAGGGATTCTTAAGAAGCACCTGGCTACCATGAATCAATTTAGTTTTTGAGATGCAGACCAATTACATCCCAAAGTCTTAAAGGAGATTATGGATGTTTTCCGAGCCCCTTCTAGTGGTCTTTGAGAAGTAATGGTGGATCGGGTACAGCATGCCTGGCTGGGGAATTCTGGGAGTTGAAGACCACTCATCTTAATGTGCCCAAGTTTGGACAACACTGGGGTAGAGGTTTGGAGAAGACTGCATCAAATGAAGTATTGTGACAAAAGGAAGAGAAGTTACTGTTCCTTTCTATTCTGCATTGGTCGGAATGATAGAGGAAGAAGAGGAAAGGTGGTTAAGAGAGGAATTGCTGTTCCTCTTAAAAAAAATACATGCCAGGCCCTAGCACCAGCAGAAAAGAAGAATCTTATGCTGGAATACCACAGTCTTGAATCTAGATCCCATGGGAACACTACCATCTTCCTATAGATATCTGGAGGGCAGAAAATAAGAAAAATCAGCACCACTCAGAGTCACTCTGCAGTGAGATGGGCAGTGACAAACTTGAAATATAAATAAAAATATAAATATAAATACATAAATACATAAATATATAAATAAATAAATAGGATGGCCTACTGAGGAGTAGCCTGGTGCCTCAGAGAGCCAGGCTGTGAGATTCCAGGGCACCAGTGCCAGCTGTGAATGTCACACCCGTGAATGCCATGTTGGGACAACGCTCCATGAAAGTCCAACATGGTGTGATCTATAACTTGCTTTAGGCAAGGAAGATCTATCAGAACCTTAACTCTAGTATATAGCTTTTCTTAGTGTTGCAGCCCGTAAGAGATTGCTTGAGAGTAAGAACTTTGCTCCTGAGCAGGGATTGCTGATCTGTCCTCTAGGCCTGTGTTCCTCAACCTTGGCAACTTTAAGATATGTGGACTTCAACTCCCAGGATTCCCCAGCTAGCCCTGGACAGCCAACAGCCGCCCCCCACCCCCCGCAACAATCAGCAAGCTGTCCATTAAAACTGAGCTGCAGATCAAACTGTATAGACATTTCCTGGCCAGGGGGTGCGAGGGTGGGCAAATAACAATACACAGGATACCATATTTTTCATAAGAAATGTCAGCTGTTTGACTGAATCTGATGTTTCCCTTGCATGGACTTTCCAAGTCACACCTCAAAATGGGACTCTTTATAGCATTCAGAGACAACTGTATTGTCATTTAAAATCACTCCTAGAAAGGTTGAAATCTGGTTTGTTTTCCAGGTTCTCTAGCTGACTCTCGCTGAGTTTACATGTCTTAAATAGCAACTCAGCATCAAATGTAAAGTTCATGAGGAATGTCTCAAGATGGTGGAATTGCATTAGAAAAATGGGCATATTTAAAGTCTGAGTTCTATTCAGACTCTGCTACATTTAGAGTCCACACAAAATCCAAACTATATTTAATCTTCGGTAGGTTCAATGAAGCATAAAGTAAAACTTTTACAATTAACTGACCTACTAATAACATTTGGCCCAAATAGGGCTGAACTAGATATTCAAATGGATTCAGTCCCTGACATTTCTAAATGGGGGCTCCAAAAGCCCCTCCTCTGAAATTCTGGAGAGCTGTGCACAGTTAGCATAGGCAATGCTTAGCAAAGTTCTCACTTCTTCTCTATAATTATAATTTCTTATACCAAAGGATATGGTCTATATGGTTCAAGTCAGTAAATTTCCAGTTAAACATAAATGATTTGGCTTACCTTTTCAGAAGCTCTTGCAAATTAGACGTGAGTCCTCAAAGGCGTATCTGAAAAGTGAGCTAAGCACTCCTATGAACATCCTTTATATACTGTTGGAATGAAGATTGTGGTAAATGACACGTTGCTCCTTTCAGTATATGGCACTATTCCACAGAAGTCCAAAGGAGGAACCAAACATTCAGGTTTCCGCAGAAGTCCAAAAGAGGAAGGTTTCCAAAAACCAAGGGTTATAAATGTGATTGTTTTTATTTACACAGAGTGGTTAGATGTATAAAGGTTATAGGAGAGAGGGGGAAAAAAATATAATTGTTAATAAAGAGTCTAGCAAGTCCCAAATTTAGGGATGCTTTTAGGAGTGCATCCCTGAATTTTTCCTTGCATTCCTATAGGTCCTGTTGCTCCCTCTGGAACTTAAACGCACTGCAAAGTTCATCTTACTAGGATTTGGTTAGGACTACTACACCCAGCCTGCAAATGTGCAGACAGTCACCAAATGGCAGCAGAGGGACTCAGAAAACTCCTACTCTTTGTCATTGTCCTTGGTCCTCTTAGGTTCTTGCAGCCCAGATCTGATACACCCACTTTTGTACTTTCCTAAGTCTTGATCCATCTTTGAACTTGGGTTGATGATCATTTGACTTTGTTCTTAGCAGAGTTTCCATTGCTACTCTGATTTTAATGTTCTTTAAGTAATGCTGTCTTAAATTATCTCGCTTATTTGTTGCTTCTCTCTGCATAATCCACTGACCACAAACTGGTCAGTGTCCTAAATCCTAGTGTTCTGCTGACATTTGTAATTTAGACAGCCAGCAAGAAACCAATTAATTTCCAATTCATTCATCTTCTGAAATAGTTTTTTTTCCCCTGCTATTATAACAAGAAGCTTGGGTGACCCACTCCTCTACCCCTTCCATTGTCTGTTTGAAGTTCTCTGAAGAATGTTTCTTTGAAACTGTTGGGCTGCATGTTCAACTGTATGTTTTCCTTCCGTTGGACAGAGTACTTCTTGAACTTCTGTTCAGTGATTTCATTGTCTGTATATTTGGGGCACACTTCCACAGCACTATCAACAGCTTCCACTTTTCCAGCATGCCCAACCATATCTCCAGATATCACTCACAGTATTGCCGAGTCTCCTTTCTCTTGTTAGTATCCTTTATGGTTTACCAGTCTCTCTTCAA